AGGTTAGGTTTACATCTTGTGTTGATGGGCACCAGCGAAGACCCCTCAGTGGTCAGTTTACATCTAGTACTGATGGGCACCAGCGACGACCCCTCATGGTCAGGTTTACATCTAGTATTGATGAACACCAGCTGTCAGGGCTCCAGGGAAACACAGACTTCAGGTATAGCGTGTAAAACAATAAAATTTATTAAGGGGCAACATAAACGCAGTGCAACAAACCAAACCCAAAACTAACACAAATATGTACAACAAGGTGCAACAAACCCAAACCTTAACTGATATATATATATATATATATATATGGAGCACAACGTAGTCAGGCGGGCCGGGTCGGTAGCTAACGGGCAGACAAGGTACAAGGAGGTAGGCAGAAGATTGGTCAGTAGTAGCTGAGGTCGGTGCAGGCAGAGTTCAAGCAGAGTCAGGATCAGGCAGGAAGCAGACAGGATTCAGGTACAGGGGCTCATGGGAACAATACACCAAAGCCCTGACTGCAGGCCTGGCCATTCCTTAAATACACCTCCTGCAATCAGCCTCAGGTGATGGCTTGATTGCAGGAGTGAGCTTCTGGCTGCTGAGCACCCACTGGCCAGCCCTGGTACTGCACCACAAGGCAGGTGAGTCCCACCCACCATTCCTGGCGAGTCCATTCCTGACACACCAGCGAAGATCCCTCCCCTCAGTGGTCAGGTTTACATATAGTAGTATTGATGGACAACAGTGAGAACCCATTAACTCTATAGGTGGACAACAGGCCTTCATGGTTATGTTTACATCTACTATTGATGGACACCCATGACAACTTATCTCTATAGCTGGACAGAAGGCCTTAGTGGTTAGGTGTACATCTACCATTGATGGACACCAGTGATGACCTCTCAGTGGTTAGGTTTACATCTACTATTGATGGACACCAGTAATGACACCTCATCTCTATAGTTGGACAAGAGGCCTTAGTGTTTAGGTTTACATCTACTATTGGACACGGGCGATAACCCCCTCATCTCTATTGCTGGCCAAGAGGCCTTAGTGGTTAGGTTTACATCTACTATTGGACAACGGCAGTGACCCCTCATCTCTATTGCTGGCCAAGAGGCCTTAGTAGGGTTAGGTTTACATCTATTATTGGACAACGGCAGTGACCCCTCATCTCTATTGCTGGCCAAAGGTTTAGTGGTTAGGTTTATATCTACTATTGCTGGACACCATGATAAGTCCTCTGCTCTATGGTTGGACAAGAGGCCTTAGTGGTTCTGTTTACTATTGATGGACACCAGCGATGACCCCTCAGTGATGGACATCTAGTATTGATGAATACCAGCGAAGACCCCTCAGTGGTTAGGTTTACATCTAGTATTGATGAACACCAGCGAAGACCCCTCCGTGGTTAGGTTTATATCTACTATTGATTGACCCCAGTGATGACTCCTCATTTCTATAGGTGGACAAGAGGCCTTAGTGGTTGGGTGTACATCTGCTATTGTTGGACACCCATGATGACTCCTCATCTCTATAGCTGGACAAAAGGCCATAGTGGTTATGTTTACATATACTATTGATGGACACCCATGATCACCCCTTAGTGGTTAGGTTTAGATCTACTATTGATGGACGCCAACAATGACTCCTCATCTCTGTAGGACAACAGCCCAAAAATGCCTGAAAAAACATGCAAAAACCGCTGTGTGAATTCCACCTAACAGGCTGCCATTTGGGAAGCTAGATGTTGCCCGTCTCTCCCAGGCCCTTTGCAGCTGACCAGCTCGGTGTGAAGGGGACACTGTTCATCTATTAAAACCTGAGCAAGGGAAACTTATTTCTACAAGAAATACACACCATCGTTTACCATTTGTCATCTTTATTGCACTCTCTGTCATGGCTTAGTAGTAACACATCAGTCAAAATGTTGACACCAAGATCACCAGTGCAATTTTTTATTAAAAAAAAAAAAAAAAAATTAAAATAAACTATACATGAAATGGGAACAAATGTTCTTTACCATTTCCTCTTAAAATGTATGTATAGCCAAAACATTTTGTTCCAGTTCTAGATACAGTAGGGAAAGGCTGAAAAATCCCATCTTTTTTTGGATACTCTGTTCTCCTTTGTTGGGATTTCTCTTCACTTCCTGTCCTGTAGTCGGAACAGGAAGCAAAAGAAATTCAGCGACTGTTGTCACAAGTAAACACTGGAAGACTTCTAACCACCTCTGGTGGCAACTGTAACACCCCAGGTGCAACTTGACATGTCATGCGAGTTACAAATTGCATAGAAAATCGCACCCTATTGTCCGCAATTAAATCGGTTAGATCGGTGCAATTCTGACTTGGTCGGAGCCGCAGCGATTTATAAAGTAGTGCATGCACTACTTCAGGGGAGACTTGCATAAACATCTGTCTTGCAAGCTGCACCTGTAGTCTGAATGACACCCGACTTTGAAATCATGCGGCTTCCAGTGAAGTCACATGTTTTCAAAGTCGAATCGGTGTGACCGGGGTGTAATAGTCTGGATTTTCCATCACTTTGGGCCCATTCACAATGGCAGTGCACAGAAGTGATGCATCACTTTTTTTTCTTTAACTTTATTGAAATGTTGTTTCATTCATTTTACTAGACCACAGTGTGTGACATTGTAGTGCGTTGCAACATGCTGCAATGAAAAACGTACAGCATATCCTACTTTTTTTTCAGCATGCACCACCATAGGACAGTGTGAACCAAACTAAGAGGACATAAGGAGAACTCCGTAATCTATGTGTTGGGACTGTGGGGCAAGGCTGTCCAGCACATGGCAATGCAACAAGCTCTGTCTCTGTGACAATGGTCACCAGAATAAATGGGAAGAGGGGGGTAATTTCCCTAGTGGAGACACTGATAGCAATAGAAGCTTGACGGGTTCAAATCTTTTCTCACTCTACACGAAATTTAAAAAAAAAAAAAACCCTTTGTCTATACATACACTTTAATCCACTCTACATATAATGCACACACAGAACGGCAGACAATATATTTAAGTGTCGTCCTACAAGCTGAAAATTTGTTACTTTCATCACATCAGACTTGCTAATTTGCGGTCACATGATCGGTTAGCAGGTCACGGTATTTCTTAAAACCTGCCGCAAGCAATGAGATCAGTAAGCGACTCTGAACAATGTAATTAAATATTAATCATCCGGCCCTGGCACACGAAGCATGTAACACGCAACACAGATACATTGTGACAGCAATAAGGCTTGTAAAACATGACGGTGTTTAACCGAGGGTAACTCAGTTGTCACATTCAGTAGCAGAAGCACCAGTCTGTCCTTATGCAGCAGTAGCAGTGCTGTGATCATAGGCATTGTTTACACTTGCTTGGCTCGCTGAAGAGCGACCCGTGTTCGGATTGCTCTTCAGAGAGCATTTGACAGGCAGGGAAGAGGCATTGTATTGTCTGTATTCCTGTTTTAATCACTTAATGCCAGACTATAATGTGGCATCTGCGTACATTGTGCTCAGCTGCAGGGGTGGTTGCAGCATGGCCCCATTCACTTGAATGGGTCACATTTGGCAGTTAAGGGGTTGTAAAAAGGCAGGGTTTTAAGACACCCCCCATCCCCTCCCCCAGCTACAGTGTAAATGAGTCCTTAGTGAATTTTCTAAATGACAGTTTTAACAGGGTGTGCATAATCTGTATTCAAAAAGCTAGACCCCGGACAATGCCCAGACCTGCTATTGGCAACAATAATCACAGATGGGTACAGGCCCCATTCACAAGGGTGTACGGATCTGCACAACTGTGCAAAGGGCGTCTTCCCCTGATCAGGTTGCACAGGGGTTAAATACAGCCGCATGCAAATCAACAACAGGTAGGTAGCTGCACAAATCTCCAGGCGCATCCACTGCTGTACACCTGTGAGGGACCAACACACGAAGCAGAACACAGTCTGCATGCGTTCTGATCCACACATTGGTCCCACATGGATGTACAGGCAGGGATGTGCTTGGAGATCTGTGCAGGTCCCTACAGCCTCCCGCCTGTTATTTATTTAAACGGGCTGCTGCAGAAATCACCTGTGCATCCAATGCGGGTGAAGACGGCTCTTCGCAAAGGGTGTAAATGGGTTTGTACGCCTTTGTGAATGAGGCCCTAGAAATATGCAGTCAATGCTCAAGTGCATCTCTAGGCAAAAATCAACCTTCCCTACATCTCAACCCCCACCTAACCCCTTTTTAACTATCTTGTGGGGTTTTTATAGTCACCTAAGTCTTTCACACCAGCACCATTCTTCTCTGGATCTTGAGAGGACCCTAGCACTGCTCAGCTAATAGGAAGTGTCCCCCCCCCAAAGGACCTCATCTCCTGTGCATGGAAGAGGAGAGAAGACTAGGTACCCCAATGTCATGTGACTGGATTTGGATGGGTATAAGTGGCATTTGGGTAGAACTTCTAGAGCAGCCTTTGTCAACCTTTTCAATACAGAGGAACCCTCAAAATAACTTTCTGGTCTCAGGGAACCCCTGCCAAAAATGACTATCTTCAACTCATGATACAGAAGTGTGATGGTCAGTGAGAAGAATGCTCGTTATATTTGTGGACATTAGGAAGAATTAGCCCCTTAGAGAAAGCTAGAATAATCAATGGTGTCAGTGGGAACTTATCTGAAAGGCCGGAATTGCTCATCGTTGGAGGAGCCCCTAGAAACCTCTGGAGGAACCCTGGGGTTCCATGAAAACCTGGTTGAGAAACCCTTTTCTTGAGGGAAGGGTCGGAGTTTAGCTTTAAAACAATTTGAGAAGATTTATTTAAAATAAAAAAACTGGCAAAGGCTTGGAGGCTGCATTGTAGGACAAGTATGTACCCTAAAGATGAGGTGACAATGGCTATCACTGACACCCAGCACCTCGTTGCGGAAATGTAAACGGATCAATAGACAACTGGGCAGAAAGCAAAGATGTCTGTGTGAGGGCAGGAAAACACTAGCAGCTGATGGTTAGAAGGCTTCTCCTTGTGGACTCTAGCTCGCTAGCTCAAGCTGTACATTAATTCTACGCAGGACCTCTTCAGGCATACAGAACACTGGATTCACGGGTTTGATGCCTTCCTCTCCCAGCAGCGACAGCCCAGCAATTCCAAAAAGCGTATGAAACGGATCCACCTGCAAGAGAAAAAACGGCTTTAATTCCTTCTTCATTATTATTATTATTATACAGTATTTATAAAGCGCCAATAGTTCGCTCAGCGCTGTACATTACAAAGGGGGACAGAACATGTGACAGAACATTACCAATACAATGCAAAACATGAGGGGATCGAGGGCCCTGCTCCTTGGAGCTTACAATCTAGGAGGGAGGGGATGGTGGCACAGGAGGAGATAGCTGTGGGGGATGGAGTGGTAGGAAGAGTGGAGGAGGTCGGCAGGTTAGCAGGGGGTGGGGTAGGCTTCCCTGAAGAGATGGGTTTTCAGGATGCGCCTAAAGGAGAGGAGAGTAGGTGATATTCTGATGGGTTGGGGCAGGGAGTTCCAGAGGATGGGTGACACCCTGGAGAAGTCCTGGAGGTGGGCATGGGAGGAGGAGACCAGGGAACTAGAGAGAAGGAGGTCTTGTGAGGAGCGGAGTGTGCGTGTTGGGCAGTACTTGGATATTAGGTCAGTGATGTAGTACGGGGCAGTATGGTGGATAGACAACCAGTGAAAAGATGCTTTCTGACAGCTGCTTCTTGGAGACACATTAGAAGCAAAATAGCTATTTTTTTCTGTCTATAAATTCGGAGCTGCTCCTATGTCTAGCTTCCAGCCTCTGAAAACAGGTGCAAGTTTCCCCTTGATAAAAGTCTCCAAGAAGCAGCTGTCAGAAAGCATCTTTTCACTGGTTGTCTAACCCAGTGGACATACAATCAAAGCAGCTTCTAACAAAAGGGCTGGGGGGGTGTCATTATGCACCACGGTGATATCAAAGAATAGCTTTTACCAGTTTCCAGAGACAGTGCAGGTAACAGGAAGAACCTTTAACGTGTACCCGCAAATATACAGCGAGCATGGAATAGAAAGGAATCATAATACTAATAAATACAATGCGAATAAACTGCCCACCATGAGTTATGCGGTTTATTTCCACCAGTTCTGCATTAATATTTTATTATTATTATGTATAAATATTTAAACACTGAATTATGGAAGCAATGATCAGGCAAATTCGGTGACACTGCCGTGCGGGGGAAGGCAGTTCCAGGATTGATATTTTAGTCAGCTTTATATTAAAGGGACTCTGTAGCCACACTATTCATTTCAACAACAATCTTCTCATACGTTTATATTATCTAGAACATATTTTAGGTATGTTATTTACCCGTTAAATCCTCCCCTGTGTAGACGTACAAAAGCTCTGAGACTGCTGTTGGGTGTCGCCATCTTGGATGTGATGTCAGCAGCCTCAGCATACTCAGAGCTGCCACTCAAGTGACACTATCGTATTCCCCTTTGTTCATTGCCCGGCAGCTATATAAATGTTTATGCAGGGATGTGAAGGACAGAGGAGCTGGGCCAGCACAGAGGGTATTTAGACGCTGCAAGAAAAAGAGAGGGCAATGACATGCAAGTAGGAAAGGGACCGTGTCAGGGAATGGACTCTTCGGAAGTAAATCAAATTTGCTAGAAAGTTCAGAGGCCCTTTGTAAATGAATAGTTTATGAAAAATAAACACGAAGTAGAGCCGACCATAGATGGATGGATTGTTGGCCAGTTCAGCAGGGACTGGTCGATATTCGATCCACTTATAGGCAGACTGGTTGTACTGAAGTCGATCCATCAATCAACCAATACAACCAGCCTGTGAGATCTTTTTTAATTTTGATCGCTGCAGGCAGCTGTACATTTGTGTTCTGCTGGCAGGGAAGGCTTCCTGCTGGCAGAACACAACACTGCAGGAGTGATCCCTTCATCAGCACTAACTGTGTTGATGGGGGAAACCAAGCGATTTTCTTTCCTGCAACCCGTGGTTTCAGGAAAATAAATGTATAAATGTATGGCCAGCTTAAGTTTAAAATACTCAATTTATCTGTCCTTTTTCTTGCAATTGTTTAACCCTTCGCCTACAGGGCACTTATACCCCCTTCCTGCCCAGGCCAATTTCCAGCTTTCAGCGCTGTCGCATTTTGAGTGACAATTGCGCGGTCATGCAACATTGTACCCATATGAAATTTTATCTTTTTTTGTGACAGATAGAGCTTTATTTTGGTGGTATTTAATCACCTCTGGGGTTTTTTTATTTTTTCTTAAACAAACCAAAAACCACTGAAAATTTTGAAGAAAAAATTTTTTTTCTTAGTTTTTGTTATAAAATTTGGTAAATAAGTGATTTTTCTCATTCACTGATGTGCTCTAATGAGGCTGCAGTGATGGGCACTGATGGACACTGATAGGTGGCACTGATGGGCATTGACAGGCATCACTGATGGGCACTGAAAGGCAGCACTGATACATGACACTGATAGGCAGCACTGACTGGCACTGATGGGTGACACTGAAAGGCAGCTCAGATGAGCACTGATATGTGGCATTGATGTGCACTGGTAGGCACTGATGTGGCACTGGCACAAGGCATTGATGGACACTGACAGGTGGCTCTGCTGGGGCTATACTGATCATCAGGGCATGATGATCAGTGTACATGTCCCCTCCGCGGAAAGCCGATTACCGGCTCTCCTCTCAAGCTGTCAGCATGCCAGCTTAACCGGCATTTCCCTGTTTACATGTGATCAGCTGTGATTGGACACAGCTGATCGCATGACCGAGCCGACATCATCTGCTCTTTCCATGATCGATGGTCCGCTGTGTCCGAGGGGCACAGCACACCGCCAATCGCCGCGCTGCGCGCTCCCTGAGCCGTGCATGCGCAGTGAGAATGGGAGGATGTCATATGACATCCTACCAGAACTAGAGAACCACCTTGCGCCTGTCATATTACTATATGGCGGGCGGGAGGTAGTTAAAATACTCAATATATCTCTGTTTTTTTCTTGCTATTGTTTAAGGTTGGTGACAGGGTTTATTTAACACAGGAACAACTATTATTATTATACAGTATTTATATAGCGCCAAACGGTTTGCTCAGCGCTTTACAATAGCAAGGGGGACAGAACATGAGACAAGACAGAAACAATACAATACACGAGGGGTTCGAGGGCCCTGCTCTTTCGAGCTTACAATCTAGGAGACAATAATAACCTGATTGGCCAACACGTAACGTATGACTAAAAGGCAACACTTTTTGTTTAGTGTTGAATAGAGGGATCAGGGGATAGAATCCCTGAAAGGTTTTAATTGCAATCTGCGTCCCCAGTCTTCCAGTGGGGACACGTGTCCCTCATATTGGAAAGAAATCGTCTCACTTCCTGTTGAGTCTGCAAGGCAGGAAGTAAAGGGAAATCTCCCCATAGAGACCCAGATGGCAAAAAAAAAAAATATCACTGCAGTTTAACCATTTTCCTACTCAATCCAAAGTGAAACAAGAAAGTTGGGGGCTTCAGATAAGTTTTAAATTCACAAAAAAAAAAAAAAAAAAAATCAGTAAAAGATAGTTATGCTTGTTTTTAGTTCTCTGGACAAAATGAATCATACTGCATTCCTTCAGGCTATATATTGTTGGAGGGTTGGCACCCATTCAGTGAAAAAGACAAACATCAAGGTTCTTAGAAAACATCATGAAAAATATCTTCTGTTTAGGACATGAACCCAGAATCTCTGCTATTGTATAGAATTGGCAAAAAAATCTGGGCCAGCTTAGGCTTTCCAGCAGTGATGGGTGATGGGAAATCTGGCCAGGCATTATTGCATTGCTACAATGCCAGAGTCTATCACAACAGCCAACTTGGCTGGCATGTGACATGGCATGCTTGCATTTGTGTTTGCTCCGTTTTATTAAAAAAAAAAAAAAAAGAAGAAGAATGGTCACCAAGTCCCAAAAGAGTTTCTAATGTGTAAAATAGAGGGTGTCAGACCCTGAAAGCCCTGGGTATTGCCTTCTAATTAACCACTACACAGCCCAATAAATATAGATGCAGGCAGCATTTCCTGAAATTACTGGCAAGTGTGTGGTCACCTTAAGGCCCCTTTCACACGAGGGAGACTCCAGCTGATCAGCAGGGGAACCGCTCGTCGATTGGATCAGAGCAGGTGGATGACAGGTCTGTGTCCGTTCAGTTTATGCAGATCGGATGTGGACACAGCCCACTCTGCTCTGTAGGCGGCTGGGAGTAAACTGACTCCGCTGTCCGTTTACACCCAACTGCCCCCCGATCCAATCCGGGAGGGGGGCAGATGCCCAGGTAGGTGGGTGTAACCAGACACAAGTCAGTTTACACTTGCTGGTCCATATGGATGAATGGAGGGTCCGATCAGGTCCACCTGAAAAAGGGACAGGCGAACCGGATTGGATTGCTCATGTGAAAGGAACCTAAGGGCGTGTTCAGATGTGCAGCGAGGACGGTCGCTCCTCTGAAAAGTGATCCATACCCGGATTGCTTTTCAGTGACATTTCACCAGTGGTGGGGAAGTAATAGGTTGCCCCTTCACTGCCTGATTTAACACCAAAACGCAGCCCCACAGACATGCATTAGATGCTTTCAGTGGTGCCAACATCCACTGAAAGCAACATGCTGTTTAATTTTTGCAGCCAAGCACAGCGTTGCACCCATGGCATCTGTACAGCCATAATCGGCTGCATGTCACTGCCCATGCAGGCAGTCGGGGGCAGTAAAACCGCAGCTCAACCACCTGGTTTTCCTGCTCCCCGGTCACACAAGCCCTATCACTTTGCTTACCATATCACCGGGCCTGTCTGCAAATCCTCCCGTCTCTTCATCCTGACAGGCCAAAATAAACATGCGTAACTTCTCTCTATCAATCCAGTGGAGTCTTCCAATTATCCTCAGGGAGGCCAAGACCCACCAGGAATAGCACACATCTGGAAGCTGAAATACACATTGAATGTCTCTGTTATAGGTGAACGCACAGCTCCATCATTCAGCAGTTCTGAGAACAAGTCAATGTAATAAACAGTAATTAAAAAGAAGAAAAAAAAAAAAACCCCGAAAGAACGGCGATGTTCTGCTGACACAGCCTTTTTAGCAGCACTTGCAAATTAACAGACTGATTCCTTGCCAAGAACGACCCATCAACAGCAGCTCATTTCAGCAATCTGACGATCACAGGACTAAATATACTACTGTGGTTTCCTTTCACAGCAGCAGCATGCCATTTGGAAACCATCCGTCTGTTCTTCATGTGTGAGTGGGCTCACAGCGTTGTGGAAACACACAATGTAGGTTTTGTACCTTCTCAGATTTTATTTTAAAGTAGAACTCCAGACAAGAACAAGATAAAATGAATAGCTCATTAACCACCTCCCACCCGCCATATAATAATATGACGGACGCAAGGCGGGTTCTCTCGTTCTGGGAGGACGTCATATGACGTCCTCCCATTCTAACCGTGCATGCGCGGTTACCGGAGCGCGGCGATCGGTGCTGCGCTGTGTCCCTCGGACACAGCAGATCACCGACCCACGGAAAGAGCCGAAGATGTCAGCTCGGTCATGTGATCAGCTGTGTCCAATTACAGCTGGTCACATGTAAACAGGAAAATGCCGGTTATCGGCATTTTCTCTCCTCTCGAGCTGTCACGCTGGGACACAGTGGAACACCGATCATCGGACGGGACCTCTGTATGAGGTCCCGATCATGTGATCACCGATTGGCCAATCAGTGATCACATGCAGAGTAGTAAGCAAGATGTCACTTGTGACATCATTGCTTACTACGTGTGAAATCTGTGAATGATCACAGAGGTCACATGGTACAATGCTATACACAATAGCCTTGTACCATGTTACAAGCTGTGACCAATCACCGCTCACTCAGTAGTTCTCAATGGCTGCAATATTGCAGCTTGAGAGAAGGAGAAATGATTGCTTTTGCATCCTTTATGGGTGTAAAAGCAATCAGTGTAAAAAAAAAAAAAAAAATCATCACCCCCAAGTAGTGTGTCACCATGGTGACACTGTACTGCTAGGGTGACCATATGTAAAAATAAACAATATAAAAAAAAAAAAAAGTGTTTAAAAAATTATAATTTTTGGTTATAAACTAATTTGGGTATTTTTTTTGCTAAAAATATAACGGAATAAATTTTGGCCAAGATTTATGATGAAATACTATTTATTTGCAAAATTTTATAAGAAAAACACTTTTTTTTTTTTTCAAAATTTTTGGACTTTTTAATTTACATAACAAAAAAAATAACAATCCCAGTGGTGAATAAATACCACCAAAATAAAGCTTTATCAGTCTCAAAAAAATGCTAAAAAATTCATATGGGTACAGTGTTGCATGACCGCGCAATTGTCATTCAAAGTGTGATAGCGCTGAAAGCTGAAAATTGGCCTGGACTGGAAGGGGGTAAAAGTGTCCGGACATGAAGTGGTTAAAGCAGACCTTCACCAAAAAGTTCCACTTGTTTGTATCTTCCTCCCCTCCACTGTCACATTTTCTGCTTTTTTGGGGGGGGGGGGGGGGAGGGGGGAGAGGGTACCTGTTTTAGACAGGTACCCACTCCCACTTCTGGGTCAGATTGCTTCGGCTATCGGAGCCAGAAGTTCGGCCCCTCCTTCTCCCACAGCCTTCTGGGACACTTCCCACAAGACTGCAGGACCATTCACAAAGTGCAGTGCGATTTGCACATGAGCAGTAGGATACAGGCTGTGAAGCGGTTAGGCTTCACTTAGTTTTCCTTACTTAACCCCTTTACGCCGGCCGCACACAAATGTGCGGCCTCCCGGTGTCTGGGCCTAGACGCTGAGCGGCCGCACATTTGCATTAATGTAAGAAAAAACAGTGCGCGCACATGTCCGGTACTCATGGAAAGGTCCCGGTCTGCTCTTTCGATCGGGACCTTTCCCGATCATGTGACCGCCGTAACGACGCGTCAAGGCGGGCACATGATCCCTAAACCACGCCCCGCCTCCCGGCGTCTGAAACTCTTAAAAGGCCGGGAGGCGCCGGCGGGAAGGGGTTAAGATGCCGAAACCTGCACCCGAAGCCGATTGAGGAATCGGCTCGGATAAGGAGATTGCTGGATCCCTGGATAGGTAAGTGTCCTTATATTAAAAGTCAGCAGGTACAGGATTTGTAGTTGCTGACTTTACATTTTTTGGGGGAGCCTGGAGCTTCACTTTAACTTTGAAAAATATTCATGCATGCACCCCCTTTTACAAGAATTGCTTTGTTAATTCCCACCTTCTCTGGTCGCCCGTTGAGACCTCCTGATGGCAGCTGACGTTCACAGAGCCACCAGCCCAGTAAATCAGCATTGATTTGATGCAACTGGTTGGTGATGGCCAGGAATCCTGTGCAACAATAGATCTAGAATTACAAACACAAAGTTTATACAAGGACTACGGGAACCATACATATACAAAGGCAAAGTAATGTTAATAAGATAACAGTGGTGTCATAAATGTCAAGGTTGTGCTAAGGGGGGGGGGGGGGGGGGGGGCGCCAAGTTCCATTGTGTGCGTATATGAAGCATGTGACTATGGATTCAGTCTGTATCAGGTGGTAGTTTCTACAAGGAGGGGCAGAGAAGACAGGATCAAACAGCCTTTTTACACAATGTGGAGGATTAACCCCTTAGGTTCCAGAATGAGTATAACAAGCATGCATATACAGACTGATTGTACTGTTGTGGGCAGGGGCGGACTGACCTTTCGAGCACTCAGGCACTGCCCGTGGGCCCGGGGTCAGTAGGGGGCCCCATGAGATGCCCCTGGTTTTTTCATAGGCTTTTTTATATTCCAATGGTTTTTATTAATTTTTTAAACAGTATAAACAGAGGCAATAAAACTCGCCCACACAGGGGCTATCAATTGCACAGAAAAAAAAAATTGCAAAATAAAAGGAAAACAGTGCCCTAACGCCAGGGCAAAAGGTACGCCCACGCAGGGGCTATCAATGGCACATAAGATACAAAACATTAATGCAACTGACTCTAACAACTAAAGGCAGCTGTCCAGTCACACCAAAAACAGAGAGAGAGAGAAAGGGAAAAAAAAAAAAAAAAAAAAAAAAAGGGGGCAAAAAGCAGGGGTCCAAGAGCGCCAGTATCGAACACCATTACATCCCCAGGCTAGCGGGGGGGAGTGTGGGAAAGGCATATTGCAACCACGGCTCCCATATTTTCAAAAATTTACGGTAGGAGTCGTTGCGGATACTCAACATCTGCTCGTTGAGCATCATAGTAGTCATACGATCCTGCACCCCCTGAAGAGGGACAAACGGACTCTTCCAGGCCTGGGCAATTGTTCTAGTGGCCGATAAAAACAAATAAGAAGCCAACCTCTGCTGGTGAGCCAAGAGGTCCGGTATGGGGCAATGAAGCAAGGCACACCGGGCATCCCAGCGTATGGAGAGATGGAACAAGGTGAAAAGGAGGCCAAACACACGAGACCAAAAGCGAAACATTCTTGGGCATGACCACCAGATGTGCAAGACATCTCCACGATGGCCACAACCCCGAAAACATTGATCACTACAGGCAGGGTTAGCCCGGGCCAACCGAGCCGGAACCCAATACCACCGAAACGATACCTTATAGGCTGCCTCCAGCGTGGTCGTATCAAATGAGCATTTAGCTATGAATGACCAGGCCTTATTCCAGTCCTCCGGATCCACAGCCACTCCCAGGTCGCGCTCCCACTGAACAACATATGAAAGAGAAGTAGGCGACGAGCGTCTTTTCAGAGCTGCATAAAGAAGGGATATAAGGCCCGGAGCGCCCGGACGCTGTTGGCAAAGCTGTTCAAAGGCAGATTCCTGGTACGGGAAAGCAGAAATGCTCCACAACGAAAGCAGCCAGTGTCGCAATTGAAGGTATCGAAAGAATTCCGCCGGGGGGACATTCCGCGATTCCTGAAGAGAGTTCCAGGTGGGAAAGGACCGAGAAATCAAAAAGCGCTGCACCTGCAAAAAACCATTAGTCACCCACCAAGAAAACGCCCCTGGATGATCCAAACCCGGTGGGAAAAGAGGGAGCAAAGGCAAAAAAGGTGACATCAGGCCACCAGATTAACGTACCGAGTCCCAGACTTGTAAGCCATGAAGTAACATCGGACTCCGTGCCATAGGGCGCGCAGGGCCGGGGGAAGCCATAGCCATCGACGTTGCGATAGGGGCACAATTAGGTAGTTCCAACAGGACCCAAAGGGGGACGTCAGAAGACGCATGCAACATAGACAGCGGGGCAATCTGGCTCGCCTGATAATACTTGGTTACATTAGGCACCCCAAGACCACCCTGGAGTCTGTGATTTCATAGGCTTTTTTGAGTGTGGGCAAGGACACAGGGGCCCCATGATCCCCTATTGCTCGGGGGCCCCATGAGTTGTCAGTCCGCCCCTGGTGTGGGTTTAGTAACACTTTAAACTTGCAGTTAAAAGCAAACTACATATAAATAAGGAACATCAATTAAAACAATATGTCACCTTGAAAAATCCAAAGTATCTCACCTGTCCAGCATGGGACTCTGAACCGGGTCTGCAGCCAAAACCGCCATCAAAGTTCATACATGACAAAACAAAGTCTATCGCCTTTTCTATATTCACAGCATCCAGCTTCCCCTGCAGGAGCACAAACAAAACTGACATTTACGTGCTGAGCAGTCTATTGCTTTATGTAAGCTGGCATTTTAAGGAAAAAAACAGTTCTCTTCTATGTAATTACAAGACAGATGCCAACTGCGTGTTACAAAATATCACAGCTCACTTCATTTTAAAGTATCTTATATTGGGATAATTTTCAAAAACGTTAAACATGCAGGTAATCGGCCATAAATGTTACCAAAATCCGAATCTGCAATGAGACAGCAGCTTTAAAGGCAACTCCAACGTTTCTGATCACGCTTCATGTAACAATCATATTGATGGCATAACGTGAAGCATGGTTGGATTTCTGAATACCTTCCCCCTCACTGGAATCGTGGGGAGCTTCATCGGTCTGTAAGCTGTAATTACTGAATTTAGCTGAAGTCTAAATTATATTTCAAGGGTTAGTTTACCTTTACCAAAAAACGGTCTATGCAGGTAAAGGGAACTTGTTGGTAAAAAAAAAAAAAAAACTGCAGCTTTGACTAAAAGTTGGATAATGTTCTTGCTATAGGTGTAGGCCATTTACATACCACCCAAAGCCTGGTTGAGAAACTCCCTGAGATGACATCATACCATCCTGCCTTGTTGCTAGGATGTTGCTAAGACACTCCCAGCTGTTACTGATCACACCGAGCATCAAAAGAGATGTAGGACATTTATGTACCTCCCAAAGTCTGATGGAGAAACTCCCTGAGATAGCATCATCCCCTCCTGCATTGTTGCTAGGACTTTGCCAAGACAATCCCAATAGTTACTGTTCACCCCCCACCATCCAAAAAGGTTTAGGCCATTTACATACCTCCCAAAGCCTGGTCAAGGAACTCCCTGAGATGGCATCATCCAGTCCTGCCTTGTTGCTAGCACGTTGCCAAGACACTCCCAGCTGTTATTGTTCACCCCCACCATAAAAAGAGGTAGGCCATTTACGTACCTCCCAAAGCCTGGTCAAGAAACTCCCCGAGATAGCATCATCCCATCCTGCCTTGTTGCTAGGACGTTGCTAAGACACTCCCACCTGTTACTAATCACACTGAGCATCAAAAGAGATGTAGGACATTTATGTACCTCCCAAAGTCTGATGGAGAAACTCCCTAAGATGGCATCATCCCCTCCTGCCTTGTTGCTAGGACTTTGCCAAGACAATCCCAATAGTTACTGTTCACCCCCCCCCCCCATCCAAAAAGGTTTAGGCCATTTACATACCTCCTGTCTTGTTGCTAGGACATGCTAAGACACTCTCAGCTGTTACTGTTCACCCCCACCATCAAAAGAGGTTGAGGCCATTTACATACTTCCCAAAGCCTGGTCGAGAAACTCCCTAAGATGGAATCATCCCAACCTGCTTTGTTGCTAAGACGTTGCTAAGACACTCCCAGCTGTCACTGCCTGCCCCCATCAAAGAAGTGAGCTCTCAAACACCCAGACATGTGGTCCATGTTACAAGGGAAAGAGCGCACGTGATGGGGTTTGAATCAGCTGGGAGTGTCTTAGCAAAGTCCTAGCAAGAAGGCAGGATGGGATGATGCCATCTCTGGGAGGTAAAATAGCCTCCACCTCCTAGCTTACACCTTCTGGTGGAGGGGAGCAGTAACAGCTGGGAGTATATCTTAGCAAAGTCCTAGCAAGAAGGCAGGATGGTATGATGTCATCTCAGGGAGTTTCTTGACCAGGCTTTTGGAGGTACGTAAATGGCCTACACCTATAGCAAGGGCATTATTTAACTGGGGTTAAAGCTACACAGTTTATGTTCATCTACAGGGGCCCCTTGTCTGCAGATTTTTGGTAAAGGTGATGTAACCCTTTAATTGCTGTGTGGAGACTGCTTACATTGAATTACAAGACCCATCTTCCACTGCAGCAGAGCGCAGGGGCAGTTCCTCCTCCATGTAGTCTTACTGCAGTTTCTGCAGACCCATGACAGCAACTTTATACCTCCGTACAAAACAGACTGGGGGAAGACATTGCAAGAGCCTGCAACGCGCTGACCGCAGATGCAACGCCTGTGTAACGCACCTGTAACGCGCTGACAGCAGATGCAACGCCTGTGTAACGCACCTGCAACACGCTGACCGCAGATGCAACGCCTGTGTAACGCACCTGCAACACGCTGACCGCAGATGCAACGCCTGTGTAACGCACCTGCAATACGCTGACCGCAGATGCAACGCCTGTGTAACGCACCTGCAATACGCTGACCGCAGATGCAACGCCTGTGTAACGCACCTGCAACACGCTGACCGCAGATGCAACGCCTGTGTAACGCACCTGCAACACGCTGACCGCAGATGCAACGCCTGTGTAACGCACCTGCAATACGCTGACCGCAGATGCAACGCCTGTGTAACGCACCTGCAACACGCTGACCGCTAATGCAACGCCTGTGTAACGCACCTGCAACACGCTGACCTCAGATGCAACGCCTGTGTAACGCACCTGCAACACGCTGACTCACCTCAGATGCAACGCCTGTGTAACGCACCTGCAACACGCTGACCACAGATGCAACGCCTGTGTAACGCACCTGCAACACGCTGACCGCAGATGCAACGCCTGTGTAACGCACCTGCAACACGCTGACCGCAGATGCAACGCCTGTGTAACGCACCTGCAACACGCTGACCGCAGATGCAACGCCTGTGTAACGCACCTGCAATACGCTGACCGCAGATGCAACGCCTGTGTAACGCACCTGCAATACGCTGACCGCAGATGCAACGCCTGTGTAACGCACCTGCAACACGCTGACCGCTAATGCAACGCCTGTGTAACGCACCTGCAACACGCTGACCGCTAATGCAACCTGTGTAACGCACCTGCAACACGCTGACCGCAGATGCAACGCCTGTGTAACGCACCTGCAACACGCTGACCACAGATGCAAGCCTGTGTAACGCACCTGCAACACGCTGATCACAGATGCAACGCCTGTGTAACGCACCTGCAACACGCTGACCGCAGATGCAACGCCTGTGTAAGGCACCTGCAACACGCTGACCGCAGATGCAATGCTCTGCAGACTTTACTGCAAATAAATAAATAAATGCACATGGATCTTGGGATCAATGTTGCTGAATTTACTCTTTTTTTGTAAACAAATGAAGTCCTTACTCACAGCATTGAGATATGGTGGCAGCTGTCTGGAGAAATCAGTTCTACAAGCATTTGCAGCCTTTGTGGAAATTTTGAACAAAGAATTTCTCGGCGCTCCTCACTTTTCCTGGTATCTATCAACCCTGTCTGCTCATCACGCAGCTCCTGGCAACACTTGGAAAATATGTGCCAATTTGTTATCTACAAACAGTAACAGCTGCTGGGACTGAACAGATACAGCACAAGGGTTAAAGGTTACCTTCAGTGGGATGTTGCCTTTTTTATTTTCTGTTCATCAAATTCTCTTTTTATTTCGATGCTACACAAAGTACATTTATAGGCTTCATTCAGATAACGAACAACACGGACTGAACTGCAGATAGATACACAAAATAATGCAGCTCTGCATTCAGTAATGCATCTTCAGATGTACCCACGTACCAAATTTTAACCTGGTATCAGCCCTTTGCAGCCCCTGTACAGCAGAGCTCAGACTGGGAGAGGGAGAAACAGCACAAGCATCTACTCAGGTGTGCCACAGCGCAAAGTGATTGTGAGATGAGCTCATAAGTCTGCTGCTTCTCCTTTCACTGTCCACTCAGTGTAGGGGAGGTAGAAGACCTGTAGGGACTTTAGTCTCTGAAGAGCGATCCATGTCTGGAGCATTTGACAGGCAGTGAGGAGGTGTTATATCCCCTCCTTACCACTTGCTTTAACCCCTTGAACCATGCACTTGCAAAGCAGCCCCTTTCACTTTAACGTGTTGCGCTTGGCACTCACTGCAAGCGACAGGAGAATAAATTCCTGCTGCAACTGCAAAGCTTCGTAGCCGCTGCTTCCACAGCTAAAGGGGGGGAGGGTCTGGTGGCGGGGGCAGGAAAAATGTGGTTTAACCTCATGGGTATACAACCTCTCAAACTGCTACTGTTAATGAACCCGAAGTGTTACTCAAATGCAGCAGAGAAAATATCCTCGGTCTTGGACTCTGCCAGACAGGGTATGCTGTGTAAATCTCAGGACTGGATGGACAGATATACAAATCCTCTAGGACAGCGGTAGGCAACCTGCAGCTCTCCAGCTGTTGCAGGACTACAAGTTCCATCATGCCTCTGCAAGTCATAGCTGTAACTGTCAGTTTTGTAATGTTGCAATGCCTCATAGGAAATGTAGTTCCACAACAGCTGGAGAGCCTCAGGTTGCCTACCCCTGCTCTAGGACATAAAACAGCTCCCATATACATTTTTATCTGTGTATTTAGCGGTTTGCCAGGAGATCAGTTTTAAGGATAGCTATTAAAATTCAAGCCTGTAAAGCGGTTCTTCAGTCTAAAGTGCAAAAATGAAAAGTCAGCAGCCAGTTAAATACCACCAGAAGAAAGCTCTGTCTCAAAAAAATGTAATTTGGGTACAGTGTTGCATGACCGCACAATTGTATTCAAAGTGCAACAGTGCTGAAAGCTGAAAATTGGCCTGAGCAGGAAGGGGGTGAAAGTGCCTGGTATTTCAGTGGTTAAATCCCATGTTTTAGGATGAATCATGAAAATGCATGGGCAGCGCAGTGGCTAAATGGTTATCACTTCCACCTGGCAGTACTAGGGTCATTGGTTCGAATCCCAGCCATGGCACCTCCTGCCTGGAGTTTGCATGTTCTCCCTGTGCCTAGGTGGGTTTCCTCCAGGTACTCCGGTTTTCCTCCCACACTCCAAAGACATGCTGGTAGGTGAATTGGCTCCTGTCTAAATTGGCCCTAATATGTGTATGTATGAATGTGAGTTAGGAACCTTAGATTGTACGCCCTTGAGGGTTGTGGACTGATGTGAATATACAATATATATGTAAAGTGCTGCGTAAATTGATGGCTCTATATATAAGTACCTGAAATAAATGATGAAATGATGGTCTTAAGAAGGCAATGCAGTTTACTACAGCCCTAGCAAACTATTTTCCAGCTACAGAGATGAATACAATTAGCAGCATCTGCCACCTGCTGGCAACAGCAGGGATTGAACCGAAGCGTCTCCTTTTCCTGACACTATCCAAGCATCATACTACAGTACAGGGGCGGACTGACCATTCGAGCACTCGGCACTGCCCGAGGTCAGTAGGGGGCCCCATGAGATGCCCCTGGTACCTTTTTCATAGGCTTTTTTGAGTTTGGGCAAGGACACAGGGGCCCATGATCCCCTATTGCCCAGGGGCCCTATGAGTTGTCAGTCCGCCCCTGCTACAGTCAGCTCATATTTTCCAAACATGGTACCTGTACAGTATATTGCAGTCCCCCTGTCCTTTCCTGACAATTTACCAGAACAATATACTACAGTTGGCTTGACTTTTCCAGATACTGTACCTCTGTAATATACTACATTTGGCTTGTCCCTTCCAGACACCATACCTGTGTGATATATATAATAAGCTGTCCTTTCCAGGCGCTGTACCTAAGCAATATACTACAGTTACCTTGTCCATTACAGACACTCTGACTTTGCTGGGGCTTTTCGTTCCAAAGTAGCTCAAGATCCACAGAATATCAAACACAATGAGAAAAATAGAATCATTATTTAGCACATAGCTTAAACCTACCAGCAGTGCAAGTGTTGCTACAGCACAGAAAGAGAAACGAGTGTCTATTTCCCCTGAAAAAAAGAAAAATTTTAGTTAGAAGGTATGTATATTATGTTACAGATCAAATCAGTCTTTGGCAGTCGGGGGTGGGTGGGGGGAGATAGGAGAGAAAAAAAAAACAAAAAAACAACACACTGGAATGTAAAGTACATTACAACTGTAAAACATGTTAAAACTTAATCCCGGGTTCACACCATGCGGTGTGGGAAACGCTGCGAATCATGTGCATTTCCCAAACCGCATTGCATTCGCATTGCATTCGTGTGATTTGGTGCAGGTGTCAATGATAAATTAATGACACCCCCCGAAACATACTACAAAATGCGATGCAATTTCCAGAAATCGCATCGGATGGGTGAGAACAACCATGTGATGTGATTCAGGTGCGAATTTAAAAAAGGGTCCTGTACCTTTTTGGTTCGGATGCGATTTGAGCCATATAAAATGTATGGCTGAAATCACACCGCACAGACATTTGCATGTAATTTGCACCGCATAGTTTGAACCCGGGCTCAAAATCTCAGCTGGGACTAGAATAACTGGATTAGGACATTACCAGAGAGCCTGGAAACAATCTCAATAGCATAATATTTGCTACTTTAACCACCTCCCGCCCGCCATATAGTAATATGACGGACGCAAGGTGGTTCTCTCGTTCTGGGAGGATGTCATATGACGTCCTCCCATTCTCACCGCGCATGCGCGTCTCAGGGAGCGCGCAGCGCGGCGATTGGCGGTGTGCTCCCTCGGACACAGCGGATCACCAATCACGGAAAGAGCCAAAGATGTCGGCTCGGTCATGTGATCAGCTGTGTCCAATCACAGCTGATCACATGTAAACAGGGAAATGCCGGTTATCGGCATTTCTCTCCTCTCGAGCTGTCACGCTGAGGAGAGCCAGTAATCGGCATTCCTCAGAGGGGACATGTACACTCATCATCAGGGGACTGATGATCAGTGTGCCTTGATGATCAGTGTAGCCCCAGCAGTGCCACCTGTCAGTGTCAATCAGTGCCTCGTGCCAGTGCACATCAATGCCACATATCAATGCCCATCTGAGCCGCCCATCAGTGCCCATCTGAGCCGCCCATCAGTGCCCATCTGAGCCGCCCATCAGTGCCAGTCAGTGCCGCCCATCAGTGCCAGTCAGTGCCGCCCATCAGTGCCAGTCAGTGCCGCCCATCAGTGCCAGTCAGTGCTGCCCATCAGTGATGCCTGTCAATGCCCATCAGTGCCACCTATCAGTGCAGCCTATCAGTGCCGATCACTGCAGCCTCATTAGCGCACATCAGTGAAGGAGAAAAATCACTTCTTTACAAAATTTTATAACAAAAACTAAAAAAAAAAAAGTTTTTTTTTTTTCAAAGTTTTCAGTGGTTTTTGGTTTAAGAAAAAATAAAAAACCCAGAGGTGATTAAATACCAGCAAAAGAAAGCTCTGTCACAAAAAAAAGACAAAAATTTCATATGGGTACAGTGTTGCATGACCGCACAATTGTCACTCAAAGTGCAACAGCGCTGAAAGCTGAAAATTGGCCTGGGCAGGAAGGGGGTATAAGTTCCTTGTAGGCGAGGGGTTAAAGCATGTGAACCTGAACAATAAACATCTTTAATTTGCTCCCTTTCAGTCTGTTAAATTTACACTCAAAAAATGTTTTGTTCTATAGATGTGAAAACATTTCCAGTTGATCCTGACAAATATTTAGCCCTTATATTCTTGTGGTTTTTTTTTTTTTGCCTGTGCTGCACTATTATCAATTATGCTGTGCACACTTGAGGACTACAAAACCTCTCTCCTCTTGGTTATGAAGCGAAAGGAATGGAGGAGGTGTTCTGTAGTCCTAATACACTTCTTGGGTGGCAATGCTGCTGCTCTATAGAAACATTACATAGTTTGGTTTCTCATCGGATCAAATACATTTTTTGCCTTTCAAAAAGATTTCAGTGGAAAGGAAAAATGATGGGTATTCTGAAATGTGTTGAGGCCTGTCACCCAAGGACAGGAAGTGTGTTACTGGCAGGGCAGTAAAAATAAAAGAATAAAACTATTTTTTTCCAATTCAAAAAATAAGTTGGTAAGAAAAAAGTAAAAGAAAAGAAAAAAAGTTGTTAAAAAACAAATGCAGCCACCACATCTAATGGTTGATAAGCTGCAATATATTCAGGAGCGGACTGACAACTCATGGGGCCCCCGGGCAATAGGGGATCATGGGGCCCCTGTGTCCTTGCCCAAACTCAAATAGGCCTATGAAAAAGGTACCAGGGACATCTCATGGGGCCCCCTACTGACCCCGGGCCCTCGGGCAGTGTCCGAGTTTCCAAATGGTCAGTCCGCCCCTGAATATATTACATTTCAGTGCTTGGGTTTAGATACAATTTATCAGTGTGCTGGACATATACAATGTCTGACTTATCACTGTGTCCATCCTATCCTTCACAGTCATCTCATTAAATCTGTTTAAAGTGGTTGTAACCTTAACTCATTACATCCGTTTTGAAATTGTAAAAATAACTATTGTTTTTTTTTTTCTTTTTAATACTTAATTTTCTGCCTCGTCCATCTTCAATTAGTGCAAGTCCATGCGTTGCTGTAGTTTCCCCAGCAATCCAGAGTCTTGCTGCTGGGCGTGTCCAGTGATGAAGGCACCTACGTTATAATTGGAAGTGACATTGCCGCCAACCTTCTGCATTTCCATAGCAACGGAACGCCATCAGTCCTGGCGGCATTACGCCACTTCCCTCTCTCTAGCCGAGAGCAGTGAGTGGACGGGAGGAGGGCACGGCTTTCTAATGACTACAGAAGATACAGGCACACTGCGCTCTAGCACCGCGTGCCTGTATCTTCAGCTGAAAAAAACCCACAACACGTAAACTGACTGGCAGCCATGCTTAGCATGGTCAGTTTGTTTAAAAGGAGGAGGGGCACAGGCAGGATCATCCAGATATAAAACAGGACATTGGCAGGCAGAAAATGTAAAAAGCACATGTAAACAAAAGAAAGCCAGTGCAATTTGTTTTTTTCTTTAGGGTTACAAGCACTTTAACCCCTCGGCGCAGAGCGGCCGCATATTTGCGTACCATTTGAAAACACATGTGCCTAGAGCACGCACACTGCGCAATCCCAGCACATATGTCGTTGTCTCACGGAAAGGTCCTGATCTCCCCTTGCGAACGGGACCTTTTCTGATCATGTGGCCGCCGTGACAGTGAATCACGACGGTCACATGACCCTATAACCCCGCCCCGCCTCCTGGCATCTGAAACCTCTTAAAGGGCCGGGAGGGCGCCGGCACGAAGAGGTTAATGAAGCTGTATTTCTGTACATGAGAACACGCTGCAGTGAAAGTTTGTGTCTACCCCATTTGTCTCCAGAAAAGGATCCATCTTCCTTCTGTAGACTCTGAACATATTCGACTATCTTCTCTGTGTTCACTTCAGAAAGACTGTCAAAAAGAGTGAGGATCTGCAAGTAAAAGGAAATAGAAAAATGATGTGTGCGACCTTACATATAAAGCTGTATTAGGTACTATATACATGAGATAGAAGCACTAGTTCATTGAAGTTGATGGGAACCTTGCTGCACCTCAGTTCTCCTAATTTTCAGCAACCTGTCTTTAGGCAATCCAGTAACAATCACAGTGTTTCTGAATACAAGTAGCCTGAGGGTGGCCTTAGACCAGGGGTGGGCAAACTTTTTGACTTGAGGGCCGCAATGGGTTCATATATTGGACCCGGGGGCCAGACCAAGAGTAGATTAATGATGTGTATGTGTCATCCATAGTAAGTATAGTAATATTCCCCCATAGTAAGCATAGTAATTAATCCCCCATATAGTAATTCGTCCCCCGTATAGTAATTCGTCCCCCATATAGTAATTCGTCCCCCATATAGCAATTCATCCCCCATAGTAATTCATCCCCCCTATAGTAATTCATCCCCCCTATAGTAATTCATCCCCCATATAGTAATTCATCCCCCATATAGTAATTCATCCCCCATATAGTAATTCATCCCCCCTATAGTAATTCATCCCCCATATAGTAATTCATCCCCCATATAGTAATTCATCCCCCATATAGTAATTCATCCCCCATATAGTAATTCATCCCCCATAGTAATTCATCCCCCATATAGTAATTCATCCCCCCCCATAGTAATTCATCCCCCCCATAGTAATTCATCCCCCATATAGTAATTCATTCCCCCTATAGTAATTCATTCCCCATATTAAGTCCCCAAGTCCCCCCTGTGTCAATTCACTTACCTTTGCTCCGCGCGTTCCTCTTGTTCCCGCGCCGTTCCGGTGTAGCATGAAAATCTGTCTCCTATGAGGATCTGTCCCCCTCGACGTATCTGCGCATGTGCCAGTTTCAGGCATTAGCAGCCGAACGGCGATCTCCGGCACATGCGCAGATACGTCGAGGGGGACAGATCCTCATAGGAAACAGATTTTCATGTTACACCGGTCTTCAGGGCGGACTGAGAGGAGCCTAGCTCCACGGGCCGGATTAAAAGGTCCGCCGGGCCGTAGTTTGCCCATTGCTGCCTTAGACAGACTAAGTCATGATTGCAATTTTGGACAATCAGAGGAAGCCTCGTGCTCAATGAAAAAAAAAAAAAAAAAAAAAAAAAAAAAAAAAAAAAAAGAAGGTTTCTCCTGAATGGCAGAAATGTGCTAAGACCGACTCTCTTTATTTTAGCAGCAGAGGGAAAGTGCTGCCCGAACACACAACGATGCTTGTGTATGTAGATAATGCTACTACAGTCTATTACAGCAGCCCCGACCAAACTAAAGTGAAAGCAACCCTGCAATGCTCATTTCATGCTGCTTTCTTCACGGATTCATCCAAGGGTTTTCTACCTTTCCCAGTCTGAACCTGGAACATGTCTAAATATTAACCACTTGCCCACCGGGCACTTATACCCCCTTCATGCCCAGGCCAATTTTCAGCTTTCAGCGCTGTTATTCAACACTGTACCCATATGAAATTTTTATAATTTTTTTTTTTTTTTTTTTTTTTTTTACACAAATAGAGCTTTCTTTTGGTATTTACTCGCCGCTGGGAGTTTTATTTTTTGTGCTATAAACAAAAAAAAGAGCAAAAATTTAGAAAAAAAAATTTTTTTTCTTTGTTTCTATTATAACATTTTGCAAACAGGTAATTTTTCTCCTTCACTGATGTGCGTTGATGAGGCAGCACTGATGAGGTGGTACTGATAGGCAAAACTGATGAGCTGGCACTGATATGCAACAATGATGGGCACCGATAGGCAGCACTGATGAGCAAAAATGATGGGCACTGATGGGTGGCACTGCTGGGCACAGGTGGGTGGCACTGATCATCAGTGCCCTGATGATCAGTGGCGATCCCTCCTCTGAAAATTGCCAGTTAATCGGCAGTACACAGCAGGAGGAAAGTGCAGCCGATAACCAGCAACTGCATTTTCCGGTGATCAGCTGTGTCATTGGATACGGCTGATCACTTGGTAAAAGGCCGCTGTGATTGGCCTTTTATCACGTCACATGATCAGCTGTGTCCGAAGGACACAAAGATCACGGAGATCGCCGTGTGCGCGGGAGGGCACGTTCTGGGAGGACGTCATATGACGTCCTCCCAGGACTGGTGGCCGCAGTGTAGCCGTCATTGTGCTATCTTCGGTCAGCAAGTGGTCAAAGTGCTCTGCTATAAAGAAGAATACTTGTGCTGTAGTTATCAGAATGGATAAACTAGTTTCTGGAGAATTTATTAGCCTTTAAAAATGGTAAAGTGTGTATAAAGCAAAAATGTTTTCTCAGTTTTTGAATAGACTGGTGAGGAGTTAGATACAGACTATTACATCCATAGTTCCTCCTGAGTTTGCTAGGGATTCCTTAACCACTTGCCCTCCAGAGGACTTACCCCCCTTCCTGACCAGGCCATTTTTTGCGATACGGCGCGGAGTTATCTTAACCGACAATTGTGCAGTCATACAACACAGCACCCAAATGAAATTTACGTCCTTTTTTTTCCCACAAATAGAGCTTTCTTTCGGTAGTATTTGATCGCCTCTACTTTTTTACATTTTTTTTGCTATAAACAAAATTAGCGGGTACCTGGTCTTGACAGGTATACTCTCCCACTTCAGGCCAGTTCGCAGCAGCGGATCCATCAGAAGTACTCCATACAACCTTCTGGGACGCATCACGGGACCCAAAAGGCTGCGGGACCATTCAAAAAGTGCAACACAGCTCATGCACGTGCAGTGGGAGGCCGCAAGGAATCAGAGCCGGCTGCCCACAGTAAACATGCTGGCGCCATGGATCCGAAGACTAACTAGTTCGGGTGAGGATGGCACTGGATCCTTGGACAGGAAAGTGTCCCTTTATTAAAAATCAGCAGCTAAAGTATTTGTAGCTACTAACTTTTCATTTTTTCAAACAGGGTGAAGAACCACTTTAACTTATTACCAATACCTACAGCAGGGGTCTCCAAATTTTCTAAACAAAGAGCCAGCTTACTGTCCTTCAGATTATAGGGGGGCAAACTGTTGCTAGTTGTAGTAAATAATGTTCTCTCTTTGGTGTTAATGGGAGTAACAGTGCCCCATCTTCGGTAATGGGGGGAATAGTGCCCCATGGCTGGTGTAGTGAAAGAAATAGTGCCCCGTCATTGTTATCAGTGAAAAAATTAGTGACCCATCATTGGTGTCAGTGGAGGGAATAGTGCACCATCATTGGTGTCAGTGGCAGACATAGTACCCCAAAGGCCAGATGAAGGCAAGCAAAGGGCCACATCTGGCCCCTAGGCCACAGTTTGGAGATCGTTGACCTAGAGTATTGTCAATGCCAAATACTGAGGCGTGACTTTACAAAAGGGTTGGAGATTTCTTTCCCCACGTTTCTCTTGGGTAGTGCAGCCCCTTGAAATGAATGAGCTGCCCTACATGCAGCACAGATAAATGTGAACCAAGGCTCAGGCCAGCTGGGTTAGCAGGTTTGTGAAGTTTTTATTTCTCTAAATCTCCAATGGAGAGATTCACCTTTGCCATTTGTCCAAGTGATGTTCCCTATCCATGGGTTAAACATTTGTTTGTACAGGAGGTTGTTAATATCAATGGAATTGGCTGTCTAAAAATGATAAGTGGCTACATTTGTATTTGGTATTATAATATTTTCTAGTGTTCACAATCTCTGTTCCCCTACAAATAAGTTCAGTAACAGGTGAACAATGGCTAGGCTGAGTCTGTGCCCAGCAGGGGATGCATCCATTTTCAGAATACATTTTTTTTTAACTCTGGGATTCAGTGAATGACCAGATATACACTCACCGGCCACTTTATTAGGTCCACCTTGCTAGTGCCAAGACAATTTCCCCCACACCATTACACCACCACCACCAGCCTGAACCATTGATACAAGGCAGGATGGATCCATGCTTTCATGTTGTTTACACCAAATTCTGACCCTACCATCTGAATGTTGCAGCAACCAATCTGCCCATTCTCCTCTGACATCAACAAGGAATTTTTGTCCACACAACTGCCACTCACTGGATATTTTCTCATTTTTTCAGACCATTCTCTGTAAACCCTAGAGATGGCTGTGTGTGAAGATCCCAGTAGATCAGCAGTCTTTTAAATACTCCAACCAGCCCATCTGCCACCAACAACCATGCCACATTCAAAGCCACTTAAATCCCCATTCTGATGCTCTGTTTGAACTTCAGCAAGTCATCTTTACCATGTCTACATGCCTAAATGCATTGAGTTGCTCCGATGTGATTGGCCGATCATCAATTTGTGCTACCAAGCAATTAAACATGAGTACCTAATAAAGTGGCCGGTGAGTGTATAGAGGTAAGCACACGTTACCTGCACAGCACTAAGTGTATAAAGTAGATGAGGATCGTGTCCGATACTGGCACTGAATCCGCCGCAGTCATGCTGGCAAGACTTGATGAACGCCAGGATCTCTTCTTTGTTCATTCGATGAAGCTCGCTCATCAGATCCATAACAGTTAGGCCCCAGTAGACACCACTCATCCTTAAGTACTCCGACATACAATATTCCTGCCATGACAAAAACATGATTCAAGATGACAAAAGTGAAAGGTACTTGAATATGATTAATGAATCAGAAAAGTGAAAAAAATGCAATTTTCTGTATATTCCCAAGTAAATCCTCCATCCATTAAATGAGCTGTGACAGGCTTCATACCCAGGCTTCAACCATTGGCCTCTAGTGTACAGCAAAGTCCAGCTTCACTTTCAGAGTTAAAGGACAACTCTACCTTTAGCAAAGTTTTCTACTAATAAATACTCCCACCCTAGAGTGGAGCCCACCAAGGACAATACTAATCTCCCCCCAAACCAGTTATCTTTCATAAAAAAATGGTCCTGGTTGGCTTCTTTTTATATACGGCATAAGTGCCACAATCCCGTTCATTCATGCGTGCACAAAACGTACCGAAGGGTTCTACCTGGCCTCTGAGACCCAGAACAGACTCAACAAATGCAGAGGAACTCTCACACATGCGCAGATATGTCAAGATCTAGGATCTGCAATTCTTCGGCATCTTCATGCATGCACGGGAAACCCCATCTGCAGGTATGGGTTAGGAAGCCCTGTGACAAATCTACGCATGTGTGGAATCTGGGTGTGTGCATGGGCCATAATAGGCTACAGGAAGCACATCATCATTCACGCCTAGGTGAGAACACAGGAAGTTCTACACTTCAGCAACAACAAAAAAAAAAAAGTCAGAATCACTTTTTTTTTTCTGTGGGATGGAGCCCTTTGAAAATAATAAGTCGTTTTTTCTGGTCTAAAGTGGGTCTAAAAGGCAGAAGATTTTTTTTACCTTCATACATTCACTGCATTTAGGTAAAAATGCCTTCTGTGTTCTGCTTCCCTGCAGCCCCCTAAATACTTACCGATCTCCAGCACTGTGCCCAAGAGCTGTGGCTCTGTCTCTCTCTCCTCTCATTGGTCATGGAGAAAGTGGCAGGAGCCATTCACTCCTGCTGCTGTCAATCACAACCTGTGAGGAGAGAGTGGGGGGTAGGGCTGAGGACACACACAGCGCAGCTCAGAATCAAGCCAGCACAAGTGTCCCCATAGAAAGCAGCTTGTTAGGGGGACACTCGGAAGGGGGGAGGAGCCAGAAGTGCTCCTTGGCAGGGGACCCAGGAAGAGGCAGATTAGGGCTGCTCCGTGCAGAATCATTGGTGTAGAAGTTAGACAAAAAAAAAAAACCAGAAACCCTACAAGATTTGAAAGTGACGACATGTTTCCTGTAAAAAGCAGAAGTGATGTAACACTCATTTGCTTCCGCTGTGCGATGAGACACCTAGGTAACAGATAGGAAGCCTCACTTTCGTCATTCACTGCGTGCGCTGCTAGCAATACGGAGTCGAATCAGAGCTCACTGAGCTTCAAAGAGGGCAAATTGTTGGTGCTGTTTAGCTGATGTCACTGTGCCTGCAGTTGCCAATGTATTTGCCGTGTCGCGAGGTTCAGGATCAAAGGTCATGACGCATATACAGTTTCCGGGAAAACATAGTCTGATAAGCATAAGCATGGTCAACTGACTGAAAGACAAAAAGGAGATTGTGCAGGATTGGGACCCAGAATAAGAAAACAACTGCTGCAAAAGTGACTGCAGAGCTCAATCTCAGTCCTCTGCAACAAAAGGTTTTTGGTGAGATACTCTCAAAAGGGGAAAAAAAAAAAAAAAAAAAAAAAAAACACATATAAAGGGATGCAGGCCCTGCCACATTCCTCATTAGAGCCCTGCACATGCTGCAGCTGACTGACAACTATAAAAGTCACTTCCATACAGATTCAATCTGCACATGGACAGACAAACAGCTATTTCTGCAGATTAGCAAAAAGTAGGAATCTGCTACAAAGTTTGTTAAAATCCCTGAAATGTAATAGACTACCCAGAGAGGAATGGGTTTTTTTTCTGAACAAAAGTGGAGTTACTCTTTAAAAAGCCTTAGGGCCTTGTATAGGCCAAGGTCACATGGTCTCTGGCTACCGGGAGAATTTCATGCCACTGCAGAGTCTATTGCTGTTGGAAGGACCCTGTATGGGATATAAGACGGCCGCTATGGCACAACCGTTTTGGCTGCCCTATGTACACATACAATCACACGCTAAACATGCTAAAAATTAGTAAAACGTTATTACATAGCAATAGGATTATTTTCCCTTTGCTGACTTCAGTCACATGTATATCTACAAACCACTTCATAAACTACCATTTCCCTAGAAAAGCAGACTGTGTTTCCTGTATTCACTAACCTTTCAAAAGGAGGAGAAAGCAGAGTGACAGATAGATGGGAGCTCACCACTATGCTGCGTCTCCTTTCACTGTCCAGTCAATTCTGGTGGCGAGTCCAGGACAACCTGGGCTCAGAGGAAGTGAGCTGAATAATTCTGGACAGCAGACAAAGGGTATCAAGTGCCACAAAATAAGTACTGCAGGAGAAATGTCTGGATTGAAGCTGAATAATGTAGCAGAAGTTGTTTTTATTGTTGTATCTTTTATCAGGCTATTCGTTATTAATATTATACAGGATTTACAGTTTGCTCAGCGCTTTACAATATAAAGGGAGACAATACAGCAACAATACAGTTCAATACAAGAGGGATTTGAGGGCCCTGTTCCTCGGAGCTTACAATCTAGGTGGGAGGGGCTAGTGGTACAAAAAGGTAACTGTGGGGGATGGACCGGTTGGAAGAGTTGAAGATTCCATTATTAGCTGAGGGCAGGATAGGCTTCCCTGAAGAGATAGGTTTTCAGAGATCGCCTAAAAGTAAGCAGAGTAGGCGATAATCTGATAAATTGGGGTAGAGCATTCCAGAGGATGGGGGAAGCTCTGGAGAAGTCCTGGAGCCGAGCATGGGAGGAGGAGACAAGAGAGCTAAAGAGCAGGAGGTCGTGTGAGGATCGGAGAGTACGGTTTGGGTGATATTTGGAGACAAGATTGGTGATGTAATTTGGGGCAGAGTTATAAATGGCTTTATATGTGATTGTTAATGGTTTGAATTTTATCCGTTGGGCAATGGGAAGCCAGTGGAGGGATTGGCAGAGAGGGGTGGAGAGACACTGAGTGGAGGTCAGTGGAGGGATTGGCAGAGAGGGGTGGAGGACACTGAGTGGAGGTCAGTGGAGGGATTGGCAGAGAGGGGTGGAGGACACTGAGTGGAGGTCAGTGGAGGGATTGGCAGAGAGGGGTGGGGTGAGTGGAGGTCATATTGGCTGAGTGGAGGTCAGTGGAGGGATTGGCAGAGAGGGGGGAGGGAGGCACTGAGTGGAGGTCAGTGGAGGGATTGGCAGAGAGGGGTGGAGGGACTGAGTGGATTGGGGGACACTGAGTGGAAGGATTGGAGGACACTGAGTGGAGGTCAGTGGAGGGATTGGCAGAGAGAGGGGTGGAGGACACTGAGTGGAGGTCAGTGGAGGGATTGGCAGAGAGGGGTGGCAGATACAGAACGGTTAGTAAGGTGGATGAGTCTGGCAGCAGCATTCATGATAAACTGAACTTGTTATTTTTGGCTTAAGCTCGGCTTTAAAATTGTCACAACTTTACAATTTTCACATAATAATTGTAGGGAGCTTCCACTACCGATTTTTCCTTTTGAGAATGTTAGTTTCCCAGTTCTCATGATGGCGCTGTGATGATTTTTAGGCGATAGGTTGTCTTTAATGAAACATCCAGGTTCTAAAAGACTCTGCATGTATCTCCTGTGCTCCACTGAATGTAATGCAATTCAGAGCACATTGCATTACATTAGTACAGCCTTGGACGACGAGAGGTGGACCCAGAAGTGACATCATACACATCTCTTTCCGGGTCAGTAACAAGAAGGGGGGGGGGGGGGGGTTTGGACAATTTTCTGCTCTCCTTGTCTGCTGTCAGTCCCGGGCTTGCAGATGGCCAAGCGGAGCCCAGAGAGAATACATGGTGCGAGAAACCAGTTCCCGGGGGTGTATGGAAATAACTGGGCAGCAGCGCAGCCACCCGACACGCAGGAGTCTGCTTGTCAGTTTTACACACAATCCAGGTGGCTTCAGCCATTGGATTGTGTGAAACCCCCATCCCCCACCCTGCTGTCAAGTCTGTACAATGTACGGACCTGGCAGCGAAAGGGTTCAAGGGGAGGTTTAGGTAACAGAGTTTGGGCCCATGGGTGTATGCAATTTTAACGCATGACATGTTAGGTAACTATTTGCTCGGCATAGCACCATCTTTTATATTTTACCAAAAAGGGTATTATATTGTGTTTTTGTGTATTTATTCCACACAATTTGCATTTGAAAAATGGCTGCACAAATACGGTGTGACATAAAAAATTTGCAACACCCACCATTCTATTCTCTAGGGCCTCTGCTTAAAAATATAGAATGTTTGGGAGCTCCAAGTCATTTTCTAGAAAAAATTAAAAAAAAATGATGATTTTTACATGTATGTGAGAAGTGTAGCATTGGCCTGGCAGGAAAGTAGTTAAAGACGACAGTACAGGAAACACTCACATAATCATCCTTCTTGGCTCCATAAGACTCAATGTACTCCGCGTGTTTGTCCAGAAGAAGGGCTTTTGGCACATCAGCCTTTAAACACAACGTCCTTCTGGGGGGTTCCCTTTAATGAAATAATGACAGAACATTAGGATTATATTCTACAGGAATCTCCAGCAACACCCCAGGGTCACACATGGATAACGGGGTAACAGTGATGACACAGTGAGGCCGATTTACTAAAGGAATAGAGAGCGTTCACACAATCAGTCATATGAACATTCACTCCAATGATGTGATCACAATCCCCGATTACTTATTCCATCGAATTCCAGTGAACACGTCTGTGTGAACATTCTCCATTCCTTTAGGAAATCAGCCTCACTGTCTCAGTGGGAAGGAATGGAGAGGTCAGGGGGCCAAACAGTTCTGAAGACGTCAGGTTTGTGAACAGGAAGTGGATCAGATGTGCTGGGGAGATGATGGTTGTCACCAGGAAGAATGGCTATGACAGGAAGGGAATGGGGGGTGTGTCAGAGTCTGTCCAATTGACCAATGGGAGAGGATGCAGAGGTATGGGCCTCATCATTCTACAATGCAACTATGCCAGGACTCCTGGAGCTAGGGGTGGCAGGGGATAGGAGGGGAGGCAGGGATGACAGGGGATGAGAGGGATGACGTGGGTTACAGGAGGGGATGTAGGGATAAGAGAGGGGGAATGAGAGGGATAGCAGGGGGGAACAAATGGACTGTAGGGTGTGACTGGAGAGGGGGATATGTAGGGAGGACAGGAGGGGATATGTAGGGAGGACAGGAGGGGATATGGGGGGGGGGGGGGGATATGTAGGGAGGAGATGGGGGGGGGGATTTTTGTAGGGAGGAGATGGGGGGGGGGGATATGTAGGGAGGAGATGGGGGGGGGGGATATGTAGGGAGGAGATGGGGGGGGGGGGATATGTAGGGAGGAGATGGGGGGGGGGGATATGTAGGGAGGAGATGGGGGGGGGGGGGGATATGTAGGGAGGAGATGGGGGGGGGGGGATATGGGAGGAGATGGGGGGGGGGGATATGTAGGGAGGAGATGGGGGGGGGGATATGTAGGGAGGAGATGGGGGGGGGATATGGGGAGGGATGGGGGGGGGATATGTAGGGAGGAGATGGGGGGGGGGGATATGTAGGGAGGAGATGGGGGGGGGGATGTGTAGGGAGGAGATGGGGGGGGGGGGATATGTAGGGAGGAGGGGGGGGGGGGATATGTAGGGAGGAGGATGGGGGGGGGGGATATGTAGGGAGGAGATGGGGGGGGGGGGGATATGTAGGGAGGAGATGGGGGGGGGGGGGGGATGGGGGGGAGGATATGTAGGGAGGAGATGGGGGGGGATATGTAGGGAGGAGATGGGGGGGGGGATATGTAGGGAGGAGATGGGGGGGGGGGATATGTAGGGAGGAGATGGGGGGGGGGGGATATGTAGGAGGGATGGGATGGGGGGGGGGGGGATATGTAGGGAGGAGATGGGGGGGGGGGATATGTAGGGAGGAGATTGGGGGGGGGGGGATATGTAGGGAGGAGATGGGGGGGGGGGGATATGTAGGGAGGAGATGGGGGGGGGGATATGTAGGGGGGGGGGGGGGGGGATATGTAGGGAGGGGACAGGGGGGATATGTAGGGAGGGAGGATGGGGGGATATGTAGGGGGATGGGGGGATAGGGGATATGTAGGGGGGGATGGGGGGGGGGGGATATGTAGGGGGAGATGTGGGGGGGAAGGGGATATGTAGGGGGGACGGGGAGGGGATATGTAGGGGGGATGGGGGGGGGGAGGGGATATGTAGGGGGAGACGGGGGGGGGGATATGTAGGGGGAGACGGGGGGGGATATGTAGGGGGGACGGGGAGGGGATATGTAGGGGGAGACGGGGAGGGGATATGTAGGGGGGATGGGGGGGGGGGGGGGGATATGTAGGGGGATGGGGGAGGGGATATGTAGGGGGGGAAGGGGATATGTAGGGGGGACGGGAGGGGATATGTAGGGGGGACGGGGAGGGGATATGTGTACGGGGGGGGGATATGTAGGGGGGATGGGGGGATATGTAGGGGGGACAGGAGGGGATATGTAGGGGGGACAGGAGGAGATGGGGGGGGGGATATGTAGGGGGACAGGAGATGGGGGGATATGTAGGGGGGGATGGGGGGATATGTAGGGGGGGATATGTAGGGGGGGAGGGGATATGTAGGGGGGATGGGGGGGATGTAGTAGGGGGGACAGGAGGGGATATGTATATGAGGAGGCAGGAGGGGATGGGGGGGGATATGTAGGGGAGGACAGGAGGGGATATGTAGGGAGGACAGGAGGCGGTGAAGGGAGGTGTCGGTATCACACAGTCCGGGTCCCGGGGAGGAGGACAGGAGGGGATGGGGGGGGGATTATGTAGGGAGGACAGGAGGGGATGGGGGGGGATTATGTAGGGAGGACAGGAGGGGATGGGGGGGGGATTATGTAGGGAGGACAGGAGGGGATGGGGGGGGGATATGTAGGGAGGACAGGAGGGGATGGGGGGGGATATGTAGGGAGGACAGGAGGGGATGGGGGGGGGATATGTAGGGAGGACAGGAGGGGGATGGGGGGGGGATATGTAGGGAGGACAGGAGGGGAGGGGATGGGGGGGATATGTAGGGAGGACAGGAGGGGATGGGGGGGGGATATGTAGGGAGGACAGGAGGGGATGGGGGGGGGATATGTAGGGAGGACGGGGGGGGGGATATGTAGGGAGGACGGGGGGGGGGGGGATATGTAGGGAGGACGGGGGGGGGGATATGTAGGGAGGACATGGGGGGGGGATATGTAGGGAAGACAGGAGGGGATGGGGGGGGGATATGTAGGGAGGACATGGGGGGGATATGTAGGGAAGACAGGAGGGGATGGGGGGGGATATGTAGGGAGGACATGGGGGGGATATGTAGGGGGGGGGGTATGTAGGGGGGGCAGGAGGGGGGGGGGGTATGTAGGGAGGGCAGGAGGGGATGGGGGGATATGTAGGGAGGACAGGAGGCGGTGAAGGGAGGTGTCGGTATCACACAGTCCGGGTCCCGGGAGGAGGACAGGCCAGTATAGCTCCCCTCCGCTCTGAAACTACTCAGCACTCACCATCTCTCTGCTGGGCGGAGCCCGGGGACTCTGTCGGTCAGGACCCGGCTCTGAACACTGATTGGAGGGATGCCTTTTAGACGTCTATGCCAGTGCCTGATCCCACATGGCTCTTAGCTGTCCTAGTGATTGCCTCTCTGGCCGGAATACGTCAGTGTCACGCTGAGCTCCATGGACAGGGATGAGATGTGTTCCGTGTATGAAGTGAAATAGTAAACAGTTCCTTGTGAAGGACAATGCTGGGAGCTGTTAGTCATTTCCTAATAATCCGATCCGGGTGACAGCGATGTCCTCCCGGAGTTCCCGCCACTCACACTCCATGTATTATCTGTACAGAAGCGAGTTCCCTTCAACTGCACTCATCTGCGGGGTCCAAGGGGGTAAAGCAGGTGGTGAGAAGGCCACACCCCGTTTGCTGTACTGCACGAGGTTGCAGGGCACATGCAGAGCGGCCTCATTCACTTGGATGGGCCATGCTTGTCAGATGCTACACCCACCCTGGCCACTGCAGCTAAACGGGGTGTGGTTGGGGCAGGAGTGGTAAAAACATGTTTTAACTAAAGAGTTTTACCACCCCTCCAAACTGCCAATGTAAATGACCCCTTACTGTTCTGAGCCCCCTATAAGGCTGCTTTCACACGGATGATCACCGCGGGAGCAGCACATCGTACTCACCACTTCCCTGGCTGAGCTGCACGTGGACATAGGCCTTTAGACCTGGTAGTACTTTAAGGGAACCCCACCCCTAAAAAATGGGGGAAAACGTGGAGTCCCCCTAAATTCCCACCAGACCCTTGATCCAAGCACAGGGGGGGGGGGCAAACGAGCCCCCCCCCCCCTCCCCCACAGCTTACCAGGCCATGTGCCCTAGGGGACAAGGGTCTCTTCCGCACAACCCTGACCCAGTGGTTGTGGGGTCTGCGGTCAGGGGAGCTCATTGGCATCAGGGTACCCCTTTAAATAAGGGGGCACCCTGATGCTGCCCCCGTCTGAATGAGTAGGGGGTACAGTGACATCACTGCTAGCTTCACTCAATTGTGCTGTGATTGGACAAAGCATTGCACCTGACCTGTGGTTAGGTGCATTGCTTTGGCCAATTACAATGCACTGTGAGAGCGCAGTGCGTTGTGGGGCGCATCAGGTGAACAGCCCACCAAACATCGCTGAAAACACGAACGGCCGATGTTCGAATCAAACATCCAGCCCTTGAGTATATTTCCTCCCACTGACACCAATGATGGAACACTATTCCTCCAACTGACACCAATGATGGGGAACCACTATTCCTCCACTGACACCAATGATGGAACACTATTCCCTCCCACTGACACCAATCCTATTCCTCCCACTGACACCAATGATGGAACACTAACTGACTAACCAATGATGGGGCACTATTCCTCCCACTGACACCAACAACGGGGCACTATTCCTCCCACTGACACCAACAATGGGGCATTATCCCCCTGACACCCACTGACACCAACAAGGGCACTATTCCTCCCACTGACACCATCAACGGGCATTATTCCTCCCACTGACACCAACAACGGGGCACTATTCCTCCCACTGACACCAACAACGGGGCATTATTCCTCCCACTGACACCAACAACGGGGCACTATTCCTCCACTGACACCAACAACGGGCATTATTCCTCCCACTGGACACAACAACGGGGTGGTACTATTCCTCGCCTGACACCGAATGCTGGAACACTATTCCTCCCACTGACACCAATGATGGGCACTATTCCTCTCACTGACACCAACATACGGGGGCACTATTCCTCCCACTGACACCAACAATGGGGCATCTATTCTCCCACTGACACAACAACGGGGCACTATTCCTCCCACTGACACCAATGGGGCACTATTCCTCCCACTGACACCATCAACAGGGCATTATCCCTCACACTGACACCACACGGCCAACGGGGCACACTATTCCTCCCACTGACACCAACAACGGGCATCCAT